TGAATATTGTGATATGAGCTTCGAAGACTACATGAAGCTGAAAAATAATCCTCCACCTTGCTATTTCACAAAGAAGGCAATCCATTGATATGAGATGTGGTTGGAAAATATATCAAATAGGATTAGACGTATCAGGCAAAAGCATAAAATGCAAAGTAATGTAAACACTACGCCTAGCAAGCCTTACTATATTTATAACCAGCAAAAAAATATCTGTATAGATAATACCTTCTTAACCTCTTCTTCTGTTCAATACCAGAGATACTATTCCTATAGGACAGATAAGCCACATCCATTGACTCCTCCTCCATTGCCACCAAAGCCTATTACGTTAATGAATAGCTTCGAAAGATACACTATATGACGTAGTACAAGTACACCAGAGATTTTGGCCTATAGATTTGAGAGAAGCCAGGTCTTGATTGATGCTGAGAAATATTTTAATTCTGTGCGAAATAATGTGAAAATAAACTTAATATCTTTTGACTGAATAATACCATTATTTATCTCAATTATATTAAGTTGAAAGTATGATATATGAATTATTCATAACATTTTTTTGCGAAATAAAATCTGTATGGATGATCGCCTAGTGAAATTGTGAAATGCTTCATATATATGAAGAAAAACCTGATTTGCCTATTCTGGGTTAGATTCCCAATATACTGTATAACTATTTTAGTGAAGTATTTCAGGAAAGTCAATGAAGCAATCTTGGGGAGTCTTGATTCCTAAATACTACTATCAATATGGCTTTAAAAATTTCTATGCAACAGTTATCCAGCGAGCTTACAGGAATTACAAGAAGAGACCTGAATCTTTGGCAAAACAGGTTTGGGAGACGGTGAGAAATGATGGTACTTCTAATAATAAGAAGTTTTTAGATATTATTCCTCGTGGTAAAACATATTATTTCATTAATAGAAAACTAATAGAATCTAATTATGTGAGTGACCAATTTTATATAGAAATAGGCATAACATTTATTTTGCTACTACTTGAGCAGAAGCGAAAAGAATCAGTTATATGAACGATTATGTACTGTAGCATACATAGCTACTTTTAGAGTATTATATCAGCAAGGCTATATAGTTGTTAGAAGTACAGGCTGGTCTGACATGTTAAAATAGTTACGGAATCCCAAATATTATCATATTAATAAAAAATATAACTTTGAAAACATCATCAGAATTTTAGATTGCGAGAAATATAGGAGTAAATCGACAGAAATACAAAGAATATGCTGATTCCTACCGTTAGAATTCCTATACTATATTCATGGAAAGGATGTTACCGTGAATTTCTCAGATTTGGATGATAATTGTGAGTTTGTGTACTGAATTTTCCAGATCAGTCCTTGACCCAGATCCTGAATATTGTCTTAATAAAATAATATATTGTCCAGTCACAATGCATGTTGGCGTGTGCGATATAAATTAGCACGTTTTCAATTCTCGTTAAAGTACATATGATGTAATAGGTGATACTCCACAAATCATCTGTAACTCTGTGTGACTATTTGTGCGATAAATTAATTTTCACACATAAGAAATCGATCCCCAAAAATATTTCAATTTTTTTTTTCCCTTACAACATTTGGCCGAATAATATTTAGCAGAATAGCATTTACTGATATGTATATTTGCTCTGGAGGGATGGGATATTTCTATTATATTTCGAATAGAATAATGTCTATATAACGTTGCCGGGTTTTTCTGCGGTTAAGCAAGCGAAAAAGTTTGTATATGCATTATCCCCAACACCATTCTAAATGTCAAGATCTTCAATGCACATTCCACATGCTCTTATTCTTTAACACAAAAGTTTAGCGTAAAGGTTTGTTGCATATTCTCCTATCTCTTCCTCAACATGAATGCAAGCCTAGAGGGAAGTAAATGGAGTCATTTAAAAGGGCAGTATAGTGAAATTATTATGCCTTGTAAATTCTTTTATTTTTACTATGCCTGCCGATTTACACACTAAAATTTATAATTTCTTATCAAATGCTGAGGAAGAGGACATTACCGCTGGATCTGTTATTTACCAAGAAATCGAAGAAAATCCCTGAATAATTCAAAACGAGCTAAAAAGTATTATCGAGCGGGCTGTAGCATTTGCGAAAAATTAATATGAACGAGGTTCTTCACGTCATACTACTCTTCTCAAAATTCTACCAGAGGTAAGATATCAAAGCTTTGAGTAAATAGAGGATTTATTAAGTGATGAATAATGCAGACAGTGATACCATTCTGAGAGAAAAAGCATAATAGACTAAATATCCTATTAGCCTACTCACAGGATTTTTTCCTCAGCAGTGTGGAGGGTAGTTAGGCTATAACTATATGCTTAGTTCAATGTGGTTATTTCAGTATCACATAAAGTCTTTATTTGAGTGTTGGAGTAGCTAACCATGTGAGAATAGGGCTTTATTTTAATCTGACAGCGCATGCGCTTTTGATAATTTTTTAAATATATATATTCAGGCTAATTAATTGTATGTTTGCGTTAGTTCGAAATTGGCTTTAAAACAGTCTGTAGTTTACGTAATATTAGCGTGATGAAAATGAACGGAGAAAGGCCTCTTACTTCAGATAAAATCAAAAAAAATATCATGGCACTAAAGGGTAAACTTAGAAAAAATACGTCACAGCTTTACCAGCATTTGTTTTCAGGTGTAAATGAAGTATCTATTTCTGACTTAACTTAGAAAATCCTCTAGTCAACCAAGTAATTAGCGATGATTTAGATCTGGTACAGAAATTACCAGAACGGCTGAGGGAATCTTTTATGGTAAAATTTTTTTCTTGGTAAAAAGTGCGTAAATTTTTTCACAGTGTCACATGATTTTTTCGATCTAAACATCATTTTAATTTATGCTATCATTAAAAACCAGTAGAGGATATAGTTCCTTCATCTCTTCCACGAATTATATGAGAAAAATGTGAAGAATTTGTAGTTAACTTTGCTAAGAGTAATATGAGCATTTTACCACAAAAACTTTCGCATAATGGAAAGTGGAAAGAATCAGATGAGGAGCTTGCAGACGTCACATCAAGAATTTTGAGTTCTCTAAACGATTTATGGAATAATTCTGCATTTAGCTCTGAATTCGCAAAATCACAAAATAAAAATACTTATGTAACTAACGTAATAGTATCTGCTATTCAGGCCACATTAGAAGGACTTCCTTTAGGAAGGTCGTCTTATGTTAGCACGTAAATAATAATATAATTAGGAAAATTGGTATTGCAAAGACTTCTAGACTAATATTAATATTATTATCTTTTAATGCTGAACGTCAAAGTTCAGCTAGTGTGAATAGGAAAGGTGAAGGGCGAACAGGGAGACGGCCAGATATCATGTTTGTGATAAAGCATGATGAAAAAAAATATGAGCTCATATATATTGAGTGTTTACGCTTGTCTTGTACACTACAGAAAGAAAAAGATGATAAAATAAAGTTATGGCATAAAGCTAATGATGGGATGTATTGGGCTCATAAATCATCTGGACCAGATAAAGGTGAATTCAGAATCATTGGAATGCAAGTTACTGGACGAATAATGTGTTTAAATATTCTTATTAGGAATGTGAAAAATGTGCATCGTTATTACTATCTTTACGAAGCAGAAATTCCTGTGCAATAATCAGATCCGTCTACTGTAACAAATTTTGTAAAGACTTTGCTAATTCTACGGAACATTCTAATAGTTAATATGTCTTTACTACTTAATGCGTCCTCTGTTAGATCTAAAAGAAATAAAGATAGTTCAAACGTAAATTCTGATTAGATAGGATTATATTGTAGTAAAATTTGTATTTTATTTTTCCTATATCAATAAAGTGCCCTGGTGGCCGATTATTTTTACATATTCATTTATATTTTTTTTTTTGTATAAGATAAGCATCGGATAATAAAAATTTTCTTGGCAAATTTGTAGGATCGCGCGGTCTCAGAAAACACGTGTTTTTTTTATTTTTGAATATTAATATATACTAAATTACGCAAGCATGCAATCTGAAATAGATAATTCCAGATTGGCTGATTCATTGAAACAATACATTGCCAGGCTTAAGGTCGAGAATGATAAAATTAAGGCCGAAAATGTTGAGCTTAAGGCCAGAGTTGCGAAATTGGAAGACAAGCTATCGCAAAATGAATTAATAAAAAACTTGTTATCTATATCACGAAAGACATGATCATGTATTAATTTGGCGAAATTTCAGCTGGGGCATTCCTGCCAAAATGATTTTTTCTTGTTGACCAATGATCAGGTGTCATGTGCATATTTGATCAGAGCTTTTTAGCAGATCTTTCGTGACATTAACGCATATGACTATATTCTGGTAGATTTCGTCTATGTGTGTGGTAGAATACTCTAAATTCACTGAATGCTCAAAATTCTTAGATTCTTAGAATTTTTTATTATCTATATAAATAACTAATAACATACTGACACCATCTTTTCATGTATATTACTCAAAACAACTTAACTAACTTTCACGATCTATTAAAATAGATATATAGTGATGCCTTATATCTTGAAAATACCCATTATTGCTAGAATAGGTAAGTAGTATTCACCCTAAAGTAGAAGATATGTTAAATCAGACAGTTGAAAAATATATTAAGAAAAAGAGTATCAGAGAATGAAGCCTATTATTAGCAACTGTGAAAATTTGTTAAGAAAAGAAAATGAGGAGTTGTGTATATCAAAGCAGGTATTAAAAAAAAAGATTGAAGAGCTTTTCAACTTGCAAGAGCAATATAAGTCTCGTGCAGTAGCCATGACCAGGTCT